ATTTTGAGGCAAATTAATTATATAGTTCCTGAGACTTGTAACAGGAGGCTTGTCTCCATACATGAATGAGTAAAATGCATGTAATAAAACATAAAAGACAATAAAACACTGCCATTGAGTTGATTCCTACTCATGGTAACCCCATGTATTACAGAATAGAATTGATCCATAGGATTTTCTCACAGATGGACAGGTCTTTCTCCTGTGGAGCCACTGGGTGGGTTTGAACTGCCGACCTTTAAGTTAGCAGCTGAGCACTTAACCATTTGTACCTGCTATAAAAGAGTCTTAACACCATGATAAATCAGTGAACTCCTTTTGGCAATTAAGATGTACAAGGAAAAATTGTCTCCTTCGCTTCATTGTTCTCCACTGAATCATTCTGCCTAGTTTGCTGGGAAATGTCTGTGACTTTTTGGCCAGTCTTTCTGGTTCTCATTAGATGCCATGGAGTCAATCCTAACTCATACTGAGACCCGTATGACAGAGCAGAACTACCCCATAAGTTTTTCTTGACTGTAATCTTTACAAAGACAGAGTATCAGGTCTTTCTCCTGTGGAGTTGTAACTGACAGGGTTAAACTGTTCCCCTTCCTTTCATCACCACCCTCAAACCTGTGATTTCCTGAAAAGACATTTCTGTGTAACAACACAGTCTTCTTACTGCTTCTCTGCTCAAGGCCGCTTCACTGCTCACCATCTGCCTCCCCTCCTTTTGGACATGAGCAATAAAGCCACAAAGCTGGTCTTAGATAAACCTCATATGACATAACCCCCAGGTGTCATATTGCACCCCCACTACACCCTCTTACATGTTAATTAGTTCCTGAAATTCCCTGCCGAGTCCCAGAAACTTCAAGAGTTATGCATAAGTTCCCTATCCGGAACCCTATAACTGCTCTACAATCCCCAGCCTCAAGGAGGTTGATTTGAGGCTTAGTCTCCAAGCTCCTTGCTTGACCAGCTTGCAATAAAGTCTAGTTTTTCTTTCTCAAAGGCCTGGTGTCTCTCAATTGACTCAGGGGTCGCATCAGGCAGGACTCATTCCCATAGGGTTATGAATTCTGATGGGGGCCATTGTTCTGCTTCTAACTTAGGCCTCTCGGCTCCTGGGCGCAGCTCTGGCCACTGGGCATGACCAACTCCCCTCAGTGCACACTGGCTAATTTCTTCAGGAGGCTATGGCAGAAGTATCCTTCATGGCGAAAGCTGTGCCCGAACCCATGGTAACCCACTTATTTTGAGATTCATAAATGGACTCTGGGTAAGGATCCTAATCTGGTGAGTACTGTGCAAATGGTGTCACAAGAACCTAAAGACTTCTGAGGAGTGAGTGACTTAGGAGACAGGGCCCAGCCCAAGAGAACTGCTGTTTCTGTCAGAATCTGGGTGGTGGAGGGTTATGCCAGTGTGAGCTCAAGACAATTGCCACTTCTGTCAGAATCTGGGTGGTGGAGGGTTATACTGCTCAGGTCATAAGAAACCCCTGTTGCACCTTGGTTGTTGTGGTTCTAGTACTCCTGGTTTTTCTGGTTTCTGGTTTTGGCCTAGGCTCAGTTATGGGGAACGCACAAGATATACCAAAGTGCAGCACCCTAGGATGCGTCCTAACTAATTGGGATTTTTTGTTGTTGTTGTTGTTCTTATAATCCTATGAAAAAAAAAGATAGGATGAAGTTTTTTGGCAATGTTGTGTGGCCACAATATCAATTGGCTGGTAGAGAATGTTAGCCTCAAAATTGTTCCCTAAATTGTAATACTATTCTCCAGTTAGATTTGTTTTGTACCCGAGAAAGTAAATAAGATAAAAAAATGTATGTTGATGCCTTTATGTCCTTGTACGACAACAAAAAACATTCAAAAGCAAGGTAGAGTTATGGTTCAGTCTGAGGTAAAGAAACAAAAGCTCTTTGATTCCCTAGGGGAAGATGTTTTTCACTTCTTACTCAGCTGTAATCTCTACCCTTGTATCTGTCAGAACTGTCTGGACCAGCTGAGCCAACTTCAGAAATGGTTTCCCTGCCACAGTGACTTTTGGACAGGGGACTTCTCTACTCAAAACAGGGCAACAGGCAACTGGGTGTCCACTAAGACAAGTTCCTACTGGGCAGGAGGAAAACAGAACTCCAGGATTAGTCTGGGTACACACTCCATTCTCTACATCTAATTTGTTCAGTTGGAAAAAAAATCTCCTTCCTTATCTAGAAGACCTAAAATGTATGGCAGATCTTTTCACTTCCATCATTGCCACCCATCATCCTTCCTGGGCTGTTTGTCAGGACTGTTAGATATTCTTTAGGGTCCAGAGGAGCAGAGATGAGTTTTAAGGAAAGCCAGGGAAAAAGCAAAACATCTCCAATAGCTCAACAACCCTATTCAACAAGCTCCCGATTTTGCAATACCTTCTTCTGAGCCTAGCTGGGACCCTAAAAATCCTTTGGAGAATGGCAGGCTCAACTATTTTCATACTTTTCTTATTGCAGGGTGGAAAGGAACTGCTCCAAAACAAAAATAATTAAATAAGGTCTATGAGGTCCATCAAGGACCGACTGAGGATCCATCTACCTTCCTTGAAAGAGTTTTTCCACATTCTGACAGTATACAGATGTAGACCCAGAAAATCTAGACACCTTGAAAATGATAAACATGGTATTTATTGGGCAATATGCACTAGATACTAGGAAAAGTTACAAAAAGCCCAGGGGAGTTTAGGTATGAGCCTAGTACAATTAACTGAAATAGCCTTTAAAGTGTATACCGAGAGAGACCAGGTCCAGGAAAAGAAAGAAACCCAGTATTCAAATAGCAAGCAGCTTTCCTTTCAGCTGCTCTGGTTTGGGGGCCTTTTCAACCAGGCCAACATAACCATCTAGAGGGACAACTGCACCAGGCATTGTCAAGAAGCCTCTCCCCACTAGGTCAAAATCAGTGTGCTTATTGTAAATAGGAGGGGCACTGGTAGAAGGAATGTCCGAACCGGAAACCCAGCCAAAGCCTAGCTGCCCCTGAGATGCTTCAATCTGCCCAGCCCAAAGATTTAGACTGAAGAGGACTGGGGGCATCCACCCACCTCCAAGCTTTAGCCACCAAGGCCCTGGTTACATTAAAGTGGGAAATAAACATGTAGATTTTCTTGTTGATACAGAAACAACCTATTCTGTTTTGAATGACCTTAAAGGACCACTTTCTCCCCAAACTGTGTAAGTAATCGGGGTAACAAGAAATATTTCTACAAGCAGGGCTCATCTGCTTGTGTAAATCCACTTTCAACACTCCAGCGCTCCCAGAAAAGAAGCCCAAAACAGGAGAATATCAGTTTGTGCAGGACTTACATGCATTCAATCAGGTAACTGAAGACCTGCACCCTATAGTTTCAACTGCTTATGCCCTCCTAACCTCCCTATCTCCAGACAATGCCTGGTTTACTGTCCTAGACCTGAAGGATGCCTTCCTTTGCATTCTTTTAGTCTCCGAATCTCAGGAAATATTTGCTTTAGAATGGGAGGAACCAAATTTGGAGGGCCAGGGAAACAATATTGCTGGACTGTTCTCCCTCAGGTGTTCAAAAATAGCTCCACCATGTTTGCAACAGCCCTGGCAAAAGATCTCCAGGGTCTACAGATGGTTTGGAGTCTCCATCTTCAATATGTGGATGACCTCCTTGTTGCTAGTCCTACCAAAAAGTACTCAGATAAAAACACAATTCTAACTTTGAACTTTCTAGCCCTGGCCAGTTATTGAGTGTCTGTTGCCAAGGCTCAGATCTCACAACAAATGGTAACTTACATAGGTTTCCATATTCTCAAGGTCAACGACCCCTGCTGCCAGAGCACAAGCAGATCTCCACCCCAACCATTCAGAGACAACTTCAAGGCTATCTAGGTATGGTTGGTTTTTGCAGAATTTAGATCCCGAACTTTAGGTGAATAACAAAGCCTCTCTATGAAGCCACCTGAGGAAAGGACTCTGACCCTTTTGAATGGACAGATGAGCATCAACAAGCCTTCTTGAAAATCAAGGAAAAGCTAGCCTCTGCCCTGGTACTCGGACTTCCAGTCCTCAGAAAGCCCTTTGAACTGCAAGTACATGAAATGGGGAGGAGTCCCAGCAGAGTTCTTAACTCAACAACTGGGTTATTGAAAAAGACAGGTTGCATATTTTTCTAAACTTCTACATCCAGTCCCTCAGGGATGGCCAGCTTGTCTTAGGGCAGTAGCACAACTTGCCTCCTTTTAGCTGAAGCTGAAAAGTTTACCTTAGGTCAGCCTGTGACTGTGTTTGTGCCTCATGCAGTTCTCACCATACTAGAGCAGAAAGGCAGACTCTGACTCACAGCAGGCTGCCTGCCCCACTACCAAGCCCAGCTCCTGGACAATCCAGAGGTCGTGCTCAAGGTAACTTCTATCCTGAATCCAGCCAGCCTTTTACCAACAAACACTGCAGGTGAGCCTGCTCATGACTGCCTCCAAACTATTGAAGAAATCTATTCCAGTAAGCCGACTTGTCCAACCAGCCCTTTTCAAATCCAGACTTAATCCTTTACAACTTCCAAAAACAGCCCCAAATTACACTATTAGAGATTTCAAACAAACAGCTCAATGGAGAGCAACAATAGATTTTCATGGATGGCCCTTGTAAAACAGAGGAAACATCAGAAGCTACAAAACAGCTCCTTAATAAAATCATTCCCAGATTCAGCCTGCCTAGAACAATTAGAAGCGACAACAGATCTTACTTCACCTCACAAATTACACAAAAATTCTCTAAACTTTTGAGAATCAACAGGAACTTAGACTCAGCCTGTAGACCACAGTCAAGCAGAAAAGTTGAAAAAATAAATCACATGCAAGAAACCAAATTGCCAAAATCTGTCAAGAAACAAAAATAACGTGGCCCCAAGCTTTGCCCTTAGCCCTGTGTATGGGCCACCTCCAGAAGCGGGCTCAAAGTGAACCCTTTTGAAATTACGTATGAAAAAACATTTCTTAAAAATTACTTGCCTTCAACCAATACTCAGGTTTCTGTCACCAAGGAGCTCACTTTCCGAAAATACTTGTTGTCTTTGGTGTCCTATCTTCTATTCACAGTCATGCTCTCAGCCATTAGAAATAATCTGTTGATGCCCAGCTTCTTCACCTGTTTTAGCCTGGTGACCAGGTTTTGCTGAAAACCTGGAAAGCGGAGCCCCTTGAACCTGGGTGGACTGGACTGTACACTGTTCTTTTAGCCACCCAGTTGGCAGCTAAACTCGAAATCATCCAAGCTTGCGTGCATCACACTTGCCTCAAACCTGCACCATCCCCAGAAGATCCTCTGAAACAAGAGCAACCACAACAGAACAACTGGACCTGCGAGCCTGTGAAGGACTTTATATACCTATTTAAACAGAAAAACAAAGCTAATGCCTAACCTGTGTCCCTCCAACCTGGAGACCCTCCATCATGATTGTGCTCTTCATGTTTACATTGCCTTTACTGTCTTGGCAATCATTGTGTTCTTCCTTCACTTTTTACAGCAGCTAAATACTTTGCCTGATTGGTGATCACTGACTCTGGCTCCTTGTTACTCTGCTGATAATTCTTTTACTAATCTGTCTGTTTTTGCCCTGCCTCTTACACTGTCTTACCAGGTCAGTACAAAATCACCTAACAGCTGTGAACGTCATGATGCTTCAGATGCCTGTGTTCCCCTTAACTCAGCAAACCTCAGATCCTACAATGCACATACATACACTGGTCAGCAATTTCAAAAGTTCCAGGGCTCTGGGCCACCACCTACATAAATATCTATCTTCAAGATTGAAGACCCTATAAACCAGAGGAATGAATGTAACTGATAGGGTTAAACTATTCCCTCTCCTCTCATCACCACCCTACCCCCGCCTGGACCTGTGGGTTCCTGATAAGGCATTTCTGTGTAACAACGCAGTCATCTTAACTGCTTCTCTGCTCAAGGCCTCTTCACTACTCACCAGCCACACCCCCACCCCCATTAGCAATAAGCTGCAAAGCTGGCCTTAGATAAACTTCATGTGTCATACCCGCCAGCCGTCATATTGTACCCCCACTGCACCTGGATACATGCTAATTAGTTCCTGAAATTGCTCACCTATTCCCAGAAATTTCATGATTTATGCATAACTTCCCTATCCTCAACCCTATAACTGCACTAAAATCCCCAACCTCGAGGAGGTTGATTTGAGACTTAGTCTCTGAGTTCCTTGCTTAACCTGCTTGCAATAAAGCCCACTTTCTCTTTCTCAAAGGCCTGGTGTCTCCCAATTGACTCGAGGGGTCACACTGGGCAGGACCCATTCCCGTTGGGTTACAGAGTTGCTGGGGGGGCTTCCAACCACTAACCTTTCAGTTACCAGCCAAGCGCTTAACCAGAACTCCTTCTTGGCCAATCTAGTAAATAGTAATTTACACTTCTGACCTTTAGGTGAAGCACACTTCAGGGAAATCAAGAGACCCCTACTGAACACATATATTCAATGACAAAAAAAAAGTTTTTTTTTTTGTTTTTTTAATGTTCTTTGCATTAAAAACTGCCTACAATTCAGGGAACTCAAACTTTGTTTTCTTGTAATGGTTGGACGTCATATATTATCTTAAAGATCAATTTTCTGGCAAATATTTTCCCACTTTTTTGAAGAAGTCAATAGTTCTTCATATCAGAGCTCAAAAGTCATTTTGGAGAGCATCTTGGATTTCCTCTTGTCACTCCAAGGCAGGGAAAGCTTGCTCTGGAAGACACAAAATATGTTAGCTCTTCATATCTGACTCAGATTCAACTTAATATATATATATTTATTTTGATGCCATTTCCTCCAAGGTTTGTATACAGAATGCTTAGTTACTCTAAGACTAATACAGCACATTATTAAGCTCTTCAAACAATTGTTCTTTCCCAGCCTAATATTCATTCACTTTTATATAAGAAATTTTTGGATAAATCAAAACCATTTAATTCAGTTACTTCAGACCATGACCATGGCAGGGGGATTGCCCATAGAATTTGATTCAACAATATATTTTTACACCTTTTAGGTAGAAAAAGAATTTTAAGATTACAAGGAGTGAAAATTGGAGAATATGACACTTGTTGTTGTGTCCTATTGAGTTGACTTTGACTCATAGCAACCCTCTAGGACAGAGCAGATTTGCCCCACAGTGTTTCCTAGGCTGAAATATTTTCAGAAGCAGATTGTCAGGTCTTTTCTCCTGAAGAGCTTCTGGTGGGCACAAACAACCAACTTTTCAGGTAGCATCAGAGTGCATAACCATTGCACCAACCGGGCTCCTACTAGGACACTTACTGAATCACATATGCAAATGTACTTTACCAAGTCAAGACTGTTAAAGAGACTTGTGGCTGTGGCAGAAATTGTTTCTGACTATAAAGGTGACAACCTATGTTCTAGTGACCTGAACACAGCCACAAAGTCATGGTGTCATCAAAACCCCTCGCAAGTGTATAGCATGACCAAACAATGGTTTCTTCTGTCACTCCTGTTGACATAGTTCAACACAGCCAAGAAGTTGAGGTACACCAGGAAAAACTCAATGAGGTCAGCCAGCATACTCACCCCAGGGAAATCAGAGTGAGCCTGTTTACACCAAAGCACAGTAGCAATCACAGAGAGACAGAACTCCAGCACAGTGAAAATTACCATCATAGACATCGCTCCCTGAAATTCAGGAAATAAAAGGTCAGTGGTGGTTAAGGCAACCTACCTTCTTGTCTAGTTGGGAGGTGACTGCAGAGACCAAGATTGCCTTATCCATGAGAGAATGAAGTGAGGACACCATCAGGAAGAGAAAATTGCTTACTTCAAGCCTAGAAACTGGCTCAAGTCAATGAGCAATTTGCTCATTGATCTTCTTGAGAAGAAGAGGAGGGGGATAGTCATTAAGTCAATTAACCCAATGTATACACTTGTGTTTGCAGCAATTAAATCTGTGGACCCATTTTATACACTCGTGTCTTATCTCTCTGTGACATAGCTGGCTCTAAGCATAGTGTTACTTAGTGAGGAACAGAGTGGTGTGGTAACTAACCCCCAGAACTGAGAAGCAACAGCTCTTGGTCTAGCCTCACCTTTACTGTTTAAATAGTTGGTGAGCCTGGGCAAGTCTCTGTACTTCTCTAGCTTCTGTCTCCTCATTTGTCAAATATGCATAGGAATATTTCCTTCACAGATTTGTGAGGGTCCCATAAGGGTAAGACTGTGCAAGCCCTTGGTAAATTTGTGCAAGCCCTTGGTAAATGTGAGTGTCTTCTAAATTGTCTTAATCCCTTTGCATGAACGTCCTGGCCTTTCCTGATGTAAGTTAGAGTAAGAAGGAATAATCAAGGTAGCAAACTGCCAAAGTTGCTAAAAACTCAAGCCAAACCTCCCACCAAAAAAACAAAACAAAACAAAACAAAAACCACTATATCAGGATCTTGAGTTCCACTTTTTCTGTTCCAAGGTTTCCCTCATGCAGAACTGGCCACTTAATAGAACCAGGAAGGAAATGTGATTTCACAAACTCTAGTTTACGTACACACAGGTAAAGAAGGGATGCACTTTATCTACATTAGCTAGACACTGTCTCAGCAAACAAGCTCAATAGAATCCTTCATATTTGTTCTTGTTGTTGCCAGGTGCCATCGAGTCAGTTCCAACTCATGGCAGCCTTATGTACAACAAAAGGAAACACTACCCGGTCCTGTGCCATTCTCACTGTCGTTGACATGCTTGAGCCCATTGTTACGGCCACTGTGTCAACTGATCTCGTTGAGGGTCTTCCTCTTTTTCACTGACCCTCTACTTTAACAAGCATGATGTCCTTCTCCAGGAACTGATCCCTCCTAATAACATGTCCAAAGTATATGAGACAAAGTCTCGCCATCCTGGCTTCTAAGGAGCATTCTGGCTGTACTTCAAGACAGATTTGTTCACTCTTTTGGCAGTTCAACATTCTTCACCAACACCATGATTCAAAGGCATCAATTCTTCTTAGGTCTTCCTTATTCATTGTCCAGCTTTCCCATGGTTATGAGGCGATTGAAAACACCATGGCTTGGGTCAGGCACACCTTAGTCTTCAAGGTGACATCTTTGGTTTTTAACACCTTAAAGACGTCTTTTGCAGCAGATTTGCCCAATGCAAAGCGTCCTCTGATTTCTTGACTGCTGTGTCCATGGGTGTTGATTGTGGATCCAAGTAAAATGAAATCCTTGACAACTTCAATCTTTTCTCCGTTTATCATGATGTTACTTTTAGGTCCAGTTGTGAGGATTTTTGTTTTCTTGATGTTGAGGTGTAATCAATACTAAAGGCTGTAGTCTTTGATCTTCGTCAGTAAGTGCTTCAAGTCCTCTTCCCTTCAGCAAGCAAGGTTGTGTCATCTGCATATCGCAGGTTGTTAATGAGTCTTCCACCAGTCCTGCCACATTCTTCTTCATATAGTCCAGCTTCTCAGATTATTTGCTCAGCATACAGATTAAGTACGGTGAAAAGATTAACCCTGATGCACACTTTTCCCGACTTTAAACCATGTATCATCCCCTTGTTAGGTTCAAACGACTGTTTCCTGATCTGGGTACAGGTTCCTCATGAGCACAATTAAGTGTTCTGGAATTCCTATTCTTTGCAAAGTTATCCATAATTTGTTATGATCCACACAGTCGAATGTCTTTGCATAGTCAATAAAACACAGGTAAGCATCTTTCCACAGTTTCTGCTTTCAGTCAGGATCCATTTGACATCAGCAGTGATATCCTTTGTTCAATGTCCTTTCTGAATCCAGCTTGAATTTCTGGCAGTTCCCTGTCCATGTTCTGCTGCAGCTGCTTTTGAATGATCTTCAACAAAGTTTTACTTGTCTGTGATTTTAATGATATTGTTGGATATTTTCCGCATTTGGTTGGATCAACTTTCTTTGAAACAGGCATAAATATAGATCTCTTCCAGTCAGTTATCCAGGTAGCTGTCTTCCAAGTTTCTTGGCATAGATAAGTGAGTACTTCTAGAGCTACATCCATTTGTTGAAACATCTCAGTTGATATTCTGTCAACTTCTGGAGCCTTGTTTTTCACCAAAGCCTTCAGTGCAGCTTGGACCTCTTCCTTCAGTACCATCAGTTCCTGATCATATGCTACTCCTGAAATGGATGAATATCGACCAGTTCTTTTTGGTACAGTGACTCTGTATATTCCTTCCATCTTCTTTTGATGCTTCCTACATCATTTAATATTTTCCCTGTAGAATCCTTCAATATTGCAACTGGAGGCTTGAATATTTTCTTCAGTTTTTTCAGCTTGAGAAAGGCCAAGTGTGTTCTTCCCTTTTGGTTTTCTAACTTCAGGTCTTTGCACATGTCACTGTAATACTTTACTTTGCCTTCTTGTGAGCCACCATTTGAAATCTTCTATTCAGCTCTTTTACTTCATCATCTCTTCCATTTGCTTTAGCTACCTGATGTTCAAGAACAAGTTTCAGATGCTCTTCTGACATCCATTTTGGTGTTCTCTTTCTTTCCTGTCTTTTTAATGATCTCTTCCTTTCTTCATGTATGAAGTCCTTGATGTCGTTTTACAGCTCACTGATCTTTGGTCACTAGTGTTCAACACATCAGATCTATTCTTGAGATGATCTCTAAATTCAGGTGGAATATACTCAAGGTCCTACTTTGGCTCCCATGAAATAGTCCTAATTTTCCTCAGCATCCACTTGATATGAGCAATTGATGGTCTGTTCCACAGCCATCCTCTGGCCTTGTTCTGACTGATGATATTGAGCTTTTCCATAGTCTTTTTCCACAGAAGTAGTCGATTTGATTCCTGTGTATTCCACCTGGTGAGGTCCACGTGTATAGTCACCTTTTATGTTGTTGAAAAAAAGGTATTTGCAATGAAGAAGTCATTGTTCATGCAAAATTCTACCGTAAGATCTCCAGCATCGATTCTATCACCAAGGCCATATTTTTCAACTACTAATCCTTTTTTGTTTCCAACTTTCACATTCCAATCACCACTAATTATCAATGCATCCTGATTGCATATTTGATCAATTTCAAACTGCAGAAGTTGGTAAAAATCTTCAATTTCTTCATCCTTAGCCTTAGAGGTTGGTGAGCAAATTTGAATAATACTCATATTAACTGGCCTTCCCTGTAGGCGTATGAACATTATCCTATCACTGACAACATTGTACTTCAGGATAGATTTTGAAATGTTCTTTTTGATGATCATTGCAATGCTATTCGTCTTCAATTTCTCATTCTTGGCATAGTAGACTATATGATTGTCCAATTCAAAATGGCCAATATCAGTCCATTTCAGCTCACTATCAATGTTTGGTGTTCCATTTCATTTTTGACGACTCCCAGTTTTCTTAGATTCACACTTCGTACATTCCACCTCTGATTATTTTTTTTTAAATTTTTTCCCATACAAAAATTTATATATACATTGTTATGTGACTCGAATTGCTCTTCCCATACTGTGACAGCACACTCTTCCCTTCCACCCCTGACTGTCCATGTCCATTCAACCAGTTCCTAACCCTCTCCGCCTTCCCTTCTCACCTCCAGACAGAAGCTGTCCATCTAGTCTCCTGCATCTACCTGAGCCAGGAGGCACACTCCTCACGAGTATCACTCCATGTCTCACAGTCCAGTCCAATCCCTGTCCAAAGAGTTGGCCTCGGAAATTATTTTAGTTCTGGGCTGATAGAAAATCCAGGTGCCGTGCTTTCCGAGGTTCCTCCAGTCTCAATCAGACCATCAATTCTGGTCTTCTTACCAGAATTTGAGTTCTGCACCCCACCTTTCTCCTGCTCCAGCCGGGACTCTCTGTTGTGTTCCCTGTCAGGACGGTCATTGGTGGTAGCCAGGCGCCATCGACTTCTTTTTGTCTCAGGCTGATGAAGTCTCTGGTTTATATGGCCCTTTCTGTCTCTTGGGTTACTACTTTCCTTGTGTCTTTGGTGTTCTTCATTCTGCTTTACTCCAGGTGTTTGGGACCAATTGATGCATCTTAGATGGCCTCTTGCAAGCTTATAAGACCCAAGGTGACACTCAGCAAAGTTAGATGCAGAACATTTACTTAATATGCTTTGTTATGCCACTTGACCTAGATGTCCCCTGAAAGCATGGTCCCCTGACCCCTGCCCCTGCTACTCTGTCCCTCAAAGTGCTTGATTGTATTCAGGAAACTTCTTAGATTTGGTATAGTCCAGTTGTGCTGACTTCCCTGTAGTGTGTGCTGTCATTCCCTTCACCTAAGATAATTCTTATCTACTATCTAGTTAGTAAATAACCCTACGCCTCCCTCCCCACCCTCGTAACCATCAAAGAATGTTTTGTTCTGTGTTTAAACCTTTTCTTGAGTTCTTATAATAGTGGTCTTATACAATATTTGTCCTTCAGTGACTTACTAAATTCACTCAGCATAAAGTTCTCCTGCTTCCTCCATGTTATAAGATGTTTCATGGCTTCATCATTGTTCTTTATTGTTGCATAGTATTCCATTGGGTGGATATACTATAATTTGTTTATCAATTCTTCCTTTGATGGGCACCTAGGTTTTTCCCATCTTTTTGCTATTGTGAACACTGCTGCAATGAACATGGGCGTACATATATCTACTCGTGTGACAGCTCTTATTTCTCTAGGATATATTCCAAGGAGTGGGAT